TTAGCTGTGGAGGTCCACAGAGGTTTGTTTTTCTTCAGACGGGTCAGTTATCATGGTATGTTTGTACATTGTTGCTCAATTTCAACAATTCTAGTGGCACAACCTGAATGTCGTACACTAATGATGTCCGCACGAGGAGCAATTCACTTGTCTCCAGTGCTGGGTGTAAAACTGGGTGTACTAAAATTAGTACTGCAACACAACTTCATCTGTTTGCTAGCATTTGCACAGGCCACATGCTAACACAAAAGCTAGCTGAGAGCCAACATCAACAGTTCACAAAGCCATTGAAGAGCTTGTAGCTGCCATTGGTACCTGTACGTGTTTCCACAGTATGGTCAATATGGCGATTGAGCCGCTTTCAACTTTGTGTTTTGTTGTCAGTTTTGTGTTCACACATAAAGAGAAAGATCACACATCTGTGCAGGCGCCTTAGCCTCGTGTTTATATAGTTAGCTAACAATTATGGGTCAGTGCAATTCAGGTGACGCTCCAGAGTAATGTGAAAGTAATGTAACGTGTCACTTTCTTCAATGCGTACTATATTACTTTAATACTTTACTGTATTACTTGCCACCACTTTAAAGGACATTGCTTTGTCACTGACACTTGGTTGCTAATGAATTTTCTAGTGTAAACTTCTAATATATTTAGCACCCTTTTACATGTCAATCAGTGGTATGCTGCACTCTCATTGGCAGTCGCTTTTATTGCTCATCTCAGGGCTAACATCTGCCCACTTTGCATCACCAGTGGTTATTTTGTCACTTGAAGTCACTCAATAAGATTGCTTCCCTATAACCACTGGTTACCATGACGCTGCAAATGACTTCCTGTGTGAATGGCCCTTAATACTAAATGATGACAATCAGCAGTGAGGATTGCACAGAGTTAGACACTATTTGACCGTTTAAACACTATAAGACAACATCTGGGTACTTGTAGCACATATTACGTTGCTGTACTTTTCAGGGTGAATGTATTTACACCATAAAAACAGTCAAGCGTAAATACAGGAGCACACTGTTTGATACTAAACACCAGATCTTATCATGGACATTGTGAAGGATGGATATGATTTCCAGGTTTAAACAGTGAGGCTAGTGCAGGAGGGCTTTAAGCCATCATTCTTAGTGATTGTCACCGAGGGGATTCCTCAGGTTGCAAGCAACTGTAAACATTTTCCTGATGAGAGTGTTTGTTAAATTGCTAGTTTTGGGTCAAGAAAACATGAAGTCCATTTTGTAAAGGATAAGTAAAAGTCAGAAAAGGGAGATTATCTAGGATGCCCTCATTGTGAGGACAACACACTCAGTGTGGGGTGTCCTTGGTTGCCCAATCAAATCTACTGGTCACGACATCCAGTTTGAAACTGGTAAAAAATGCTAGGCTTGGGGGACTTCACAGACCACACCGATTACATCATGGTGACTACATTCATATTTAATACTGTCTATGGTCACAATGTAGGTGTCTGTCTTGTCATCTAAATTCTACACGGCAGAACTATCTATCATAAGCTCCAAGTCTACTTTTGTTTTTTCTGACAAACAGCCCAAAACCAAAAAGACAAAAAAACAGATTTGCCATTTGCAGTTAATTGTCCTGTAGACCTGTTTTCTCAGGACTGGAAGTGTGAATTGTTTTATATTATTCTGACTATCACCATAAAATCAGATAAAAGACTTTTCCAGTGGAAAGTCAAACTCTTGACTCGCTGTCAATGTCTTGGATTTGTTAAAGGAGATGTCAGTGGCAACTGGTCTTTTTCAGTGAGGACCTGACACGTTGTCAAGCCAGGAGGCTTTCTCTTTAACTGCTGATGGAATTTGCATTTGTGCTACTTAAAGTCCCCCTCTTCCCCTGCCTCTGTATCCACCCTTGCTTTCACCCTTTTGGTTCAGGAGACTTTGATAAGCAGCAGCCTACAGGCAAAGAAAAATCAGAGCTGTGGTTACAAATTGAGGTCATGAGAGAGAACGCAGTGTTTGCGGGTGCACCTATTTAAGCTTTATCTGTGTTTACAAGCATGAAAACACAGTAAAGTTCCATGCATTCACTTCACTACATTGCCTTAAACCAATGCAGAGTGACTCCTTGACATTTGCACTACTGCTAGCTGCACTAGAGATTGCTTTGCTGGCACCACACCAGATATTTAATCATAATTAGCCAAACAATTACCAGGCTAATTGTTATTGGTGCGATATTGGAGTGCAAAGAGGACAAATGTCAGGTTTATTGGCAGGGGATGTTCATCCTCTGGCTTGCCTTTGTCTCACTTCACTTTAGAGTGTCAAACTCATCTGATTCTTCAACACAAACGTCTGTACAGACACGGCGCCACAAAAAGACAAGGTAACGCACATCTGTACATCGTCACCACTTGGTCGAGCCTATTTGTGACTGTTCTCTGAAGGAAATAGAAAAGAGGGGAAAAAAGGAGTAAAAAGCCATTTAAAGGCCAATGTGAATGGCAGCGCCTTTTGAGTATCAGCATTGTGTTTTACAAAAAAGAGGTCAGGCTCAAAACTGTGTGACTGATAAGTGTGGATGTTTCAGAAGGGTCACGCAGTGCTCAGTGAAGTGAGGCCTTTGCTCTCGCTATTGATAGCTCCACCAATACACCTCACGCAGGGTGGAAATCGATGTTATCTGGTGACTGTGAACTTTGTTTGTGCTTCTGAACCCCTGACTCACATGAAGGCCTGGAAGATTTTATCCAGAAAAGGTAATTATTTTTATTTACTGCAAGTGCTTCGCTTTGCTTGTTAAATGAAATAACCCAGCCTTTTGAAGATTTTATCCAGAAAAGGTAATTATTTTTATTTACTGCAAGTGCTTCGCTTTGCTTGTTAAATGAAACGGTGCACTTTTAGTAAGAAACTTTTTGCTCTGTGCAAAAAACAGTGGCTCAATTGTATTTTCTGTACAACAGAAGACTTGAAAGAGAAACTCTTCATTGTTCTGGCACATTTGCATTGTTTTTTCTTTCCCCTCATAAATTCTGCTGAGCTCTTACAGTTTACACTCACTTTGATTCTGCCTCCATCTGCCATTCCCATGAAACCCATAATTGCTCATCTATTCATTTTGTCAACAGTCTCTTTTAAAAATCATCTTTGTGAAACGATTAGCTAAAGCAGAGGAAATCATAGGAGATTTAAAGCATATGATTAATTCATTCCTTGTTGTTTTATCAAATGGAAGATGACAAGGGTGTCAGATGACAGTTTATTAGATAGATTTCCTTTCTCCATCGAAATTACAGGCTCATTGTCATTAGCCTTTGGGAGGCCGGTTATTGGTCTAAGAGCTAAATTGCATAATACTATGTATTTATGCGTGCTGCTCCACTATGATTTAAGCTCAAATTAATACAAAAGAACAAAAAAGGCAATATTTGCAATTGAGATTAGAGTGATGCAAGTAATGCATGATGGAGGCCAAATGGCGATCGAAGTTAGAAATGTGTGATTTAATCTTGATTATGACTTAATACACCATACGCTTCTTGCAATTAGCTGTCCGTGGATGACCCTCCTATCATTTGTTAAGAGTTCAATGTAGCGTAAAATCTGGGGCAGGTCAATCCCAAGTGTTTAATCTGTTCTTGGGTAAGGGAGATAAAAAAAAAAAAACGGCGACGTCAGCCGCGCAGGGTAATTAGCCGGGCGCATCATGTATGAGAGGCTGTATCCCGCTCCCGTTCTTCCATTCGGGCTCATGTAATGAGTTTAGCAGGAACGGAGCAGACGTGTTGAGAAAGGGGGGAGAGACGTAAAAGAAGCAGGAGTGCACAAGGGTAAGGGAGAGAGAGGTGCAGCAGAAGATGAGACATTCTCAGAAGACCAAAGCAGCTCTGCGGCCTGTCAAGAACAACTGTGTGTCCATCCCCATATCAGAGCCCCAGTGTTCCAATTCTGATAAGATAAATCCTCGTATTAGTTTTACTCTTGAACTGTATCACAAACATTGTTGCAGAGCTCATCAGCTCCGGATTTTCCTGTATTATCTGTTTAAAATGTAGGAAAAAAGGATCTGAGTACATGTAGTTTGAATTTACCCATTTAAAATTTCCATTGTGTATAAACTAAAAGTGATTTATGGGATTGTTGTCTCAGTTCCACAGAATGGGTTTAGAACGACCTATAAGTCCAGGCTGGATTATAATATGAATATGATTATTACAAAGGAAAATGTGTTTCTCAAAGATTCAAACATCAGGACAAAGCACGTCAGACACAAAACTTTTCTGCCTTCTAACTGTCAAAATGTGAGATCTCAGAGTACCCCATAGAGCTTTGTTTTCGTTGTTTTCTATGAGGATTTTCTTCTTTTGTTTACCTTATACACAAGTATGCTCACACACACACATATAGGAAGACTGTTATCTAGTAAGCCCAAAAAACGTATATATTTCCAACTCTGAATGTAAAATACTTTCAAATAAAGAGAACAGTAACCAAACAAACAAGCCCTGAGCAGAAAAGTATGAAATAAAACACAGGAAAGACTCAATCCAAATTCTAAATATAACCTCCATGTCAACAGAGAGGGAAGAGGCTGTGTGTAGCTCGCAATCCTGGCAAGGAGTTAAAGGTATGAAAATGTGTATGTGTATGTAAATTGGACCAAATTTTCCTTGGTTTTTGTGACCATTAGCAGGACTTTGAAGCAAGCATAATTTAACCGTGTGCTTTTCCATTTTCTTCATCATGCAAGAAACCAGGAAACTAGGAGCTGTCAAATAAAAAAGCATACGAATAAAGAAACTGTAAAAATGTTAGTCCTGTGTGGGATTTGGGTGAGTCAAGTGCTGCATAGATGACTCTTTCATCTGGCCAATCCACAGTTAGCATCACCCTGGTTTTCTAGATAAAAAGCCAAACTACTTTTCCCATTGGAAAACAAATTGAACATACGTACATGTATCTTTAAATAAATCGACACCACATTTTGATTGTGAAGAAAGGACAATGTAGGGTCACCCACCAGGTGGGCCAGTGGTTCAATGGATAACACGTCTGACTACGGATCAGAAGATTCTAGGTTCGACTCCTAGCTGGCTCAATTCTTGAATCCAGAAGAATCTTAAATCCTGGATTTATGGCTCCGGATAAAAGCAAGTGTTTTTAGCACATTACTTCATCATCGAAGATTAGATTTCCATACCAAAAGAGCAAAATTGTTACCTCGTTTCCAGTTTTGTTACTATAATATCATCAGGAGTTGAGGAACCAAACTTCTCATGTGTGTACATCTTATGTCATCAATATATATGACTTCATCATGTTGCCTAGCAACTACCGAGAAACACGCTAACAATACAGATTTTTAGCATTTATGCATCTATATCAACTGATTTAATTTTTATGGCAGTAGCATCTCATTAATAGCCACTAAAGTTATGTTATGCTATATAATATACTATGATAGTATCAATTTTCCTTGCAGCCATATTGCAGTGGGTTAAAAATTACCCGTTTTTAGCATCTACCATCGATATTTTTCTGCTTTTCTCAGCGTGATCAAGTATATCAGCCTGTGGTCTTAAATCATGAATACAAATTAATAAATAAAAGTTTCAGTAACTATTTTGCCAAATGCTTTCAGACTTTGCAGACACAGTTTTGGTGCAAAAAGAATTCCTTTTCCTAAATGTGTGTCAGCCGATCCAAACATCTGTCAAAACAGTTAACAAGCAATCAAAAAGATTAAATTTATAATTAAGTATTTATCTGCATGCGACCCATATGGGAAAAAAATCAGTAAGAAATATTTGTTTGATGTATATTTTGTGTTCTGTGTCTGTACTAGACTTACAAAACCTTTATTCTGAAAGAGTTACTACTGCAGATAAGGGATAATTGTGCTCTTTTTCAATATAGGATGATTTAATCTTTACTCCGGTCATTTGTTCCTATAACTCTGCACTGCCTCTTTGATTAACTTGCACAAAGTGAGCGCTAGAAAGTTGGTGTAATTCCTCGACCAACTTTGCAGACCTCACATGACCAGTACAGCCACCAAACACGAACAACTCCACAGCGATCGCGTTCTTCAACCTGGCCCAAAAGCACGACGACAGCAGCTGAGCCCCCTCCCTCCTCCGCACGCTCGCACCCTTAATCAAGGTTGGAAGATGCATTTGGTGAATTCAGAATTTCAAGCACCTCTCTACTCTACCAGTGTCTCGACTTCGCCTGATTAAAATGATAGAGGGGCTGGAGAATGTTTGATCTCCAAATCAATTTACATTTAAGATTCAATTTTGCACCTGCAAGACTTTGATTTTGGAACTTTACGCCTTCCCCCCGTCTTGCGAGGACGGAGATTAATCTACACCAGCTGTTGAAGGAAATATTGTTGATTTTTTTTCTCTCTCCTCTCTTTTACTCACAAATAAATTCAAATAAATTCTCACAGATGAATCAGCCTGTGTGATATGTTAAACTATTTTTTTTCCCCTCGATTAAAAACGTGCCTTTAAAACTTTGTCTGAGGTGAATATTAACACGGAGTGTGATCTAAGACTATCTGCTGCTTACAACTAATATACCCAGGGACACACATAGATGAGAACATGGAAACTCTCACACTCACATGCACAGAGAACAAAGAAGCAAGCCAGGTCCTTTGAAGCATAGAGGGAGTTATTTATTTGGAAAAAAAAAAATCCAAAGGGGTGGAATGCAATCGATGCTGAGAGGTGAGAGAAGAGGAACTGTGGGTGCAACAAACAAACAACAGGGCCCAACACTAAATCAGAGCTTACAGTCTTAATGTACACCTCCAGGGGGACATATCTGTTTTAGAACAACCCCAATGACTTATTGATCCTGGAATTGAATTACCCGTGCCCTCTCCCCCTTTATACAAGCCCACAATATTAAGACATGTTTGATGTTTGCATGCATTTAATTAAAACAGTTCTCAGGAGAAACACTTTAAGAGCTCGATTTGCAGTGTTTCAACAAAAAAAGAAAAGAAAGCAAGCTTCACTTCATTGCTTCATGATTGCAAAATTATTAATAAATAAAGTTAATACTATAAAGCAGATATCCAGTTAGTCCTTCAGCTGAATTGTGGGAGGAATGTAATTGCACTGTTTTATTTTTTAAGTCTATTTTAAATGTTCTGTTTTGTCAGCTTGGAGCTAAATTATAGTTCCACCTCTAAAAAGAAAAATAATCGCAAAGCAGTGTTTTCCATCATGGAATAAATGGTATGCTTAGACAATGATTAAAAAAACAGAGTTTCTTATTTGTTTATTTAATGCAGTTTGGTTTTGGCGTGGACGTGATTTACAGATTTTTATGTCAAGGATGCTTTTGATTGATTTTTCACTTTTCCTACCCGAATGCAGACGTTAGATTAGACCGAAAGGTTAAAGCTACTTTGGAGTAAATATTCCTGTCAAGTTGACTTGACAGGGATTTGATTTGCAGTTTCGCTGGGAAATGTTGGTGAATTTAAAGCATGTTACAGAATATCATAACTAGACTGAGAGGTCTTTAGCCATGATTGTAGCTCTGTGCTCTTTGCGCTGACAAGCTGCCAATAATAAAGCTAATATGATGATGTTAAGCAGGTAATTACCATGGTCACCATTTTAAAGTGGCGTGTTTTAAGCCAAATATTGCTGAATAATGTGTAATTATTAGTCAAGGCAAGTAGGCAAGTACGTCAGGGCTGACTGGGATTTGTTTCATGAACGTGCGGTAAAAAACAGACTCATAAACATGAAGCAATCATTTTGAGTAAAATGCAGCTGAAATATATAAAATCAAAGGTTTATTTATTCAAATAATTTACCATTAAGGAGAATGTGCTTGGTATACCGTAAACTCAATTTATAAATGTTGAGGAATTATTATTTTCCCGATTTATTAAATTGTACTTACATACAAACATGTGTTAAAGAATTTGGGGCATAAATATTGTTTGGGGTGAAATACGATGAATTAAAAACCACAGTTCATCTGGGGGATGTAACGGGGATGGATGGAAATTTCCTTTCACACTAGACCTTTCTCTCTCATGGTGAATTAAAAGCAACCAAAGAAATTACGATATATCATCTGCCAATTACAACATTAAGCACAAAATTCGGTGCTAATCTCTCTTGTTATGAATTAAAATTGCGACATTACTGTGGCAAAAACAAAAGAACGATGTGCAAGATATTCCTCTTGGAAAAGGACTTTTTCAAGTGCTTTTTATGACCTTGTAGTGCCATATCACCCTATTAGAGCACTTCGCTCTCGCTCTGCAGGCCTACTTGTTGTTCCTAGAGTATTTAAAAGTAGAATGGGAGGCAGAGCCTTCAGTTTTCAGGCCCCTCTTCTGTGGAACCAGCTTCCAGTTTGGATTCGGGAGACAGACACTATCTCTACTTTTAAGATTAGGCTTAAAACTTTCCTTTTTGCTAAAGCATATAGTTAGGGCTGGACCAGGTGACCCTGAATCCTCCCTTAGTTATGCTGCAATAGACATAGGCTGCCGGGGGATTCCCATGATGCATTGAGTTTTTCCTTTCCAGTCACCTTTCTCACTCACTATGTATTAACAGACCTCTCTGCATTGAATCATATCTGTTATTAATCTCTGTCTCTCTTCCACAGCATGTCTTTTATCCTGTCTTCCTTCTCTCACCCCAACCAGTCGCAGCAGATGGCCGCCCCTCCCTGAGCCTGGTTCTGCCAGAGGTTTCTTCCTGTTAAAAGGGAGTTTTTCCTTCCCACTGTCGCCAAAGTGCTTGCTCATAGGGGATCATATGATTGTTGGGTTTTTCTCTGTATCTATGAAGCGCCTTGAGGCGACTTATGTTGTGATTTGGCGCTATATAAATAAAATTGAATTGAATTGAATTTTCATGATTGAAGTAGAAACGGGAGAGGGAGGGGGAGAGGATGAGAGAAGAAGAGGCAGCTGTGCAGCAAAGACACAGAATAACTCCAGCTTTGTGCTTTTTCATTGTAGCTGAATTACGGGACAAACTGTTCCTTTTCACCTCAATAAGAAACGCGTAATATTTTCTCTGAATACCAGGCGGGACAGTTGGCAACTCTAATAACTTATGAACAAAATAAAGTTCAACATCATTAACTTCATAGCACCCACCCAGCTGTATAGAAACTCCGTCATGCTAGCTAGCACGCAGTACGGAAAAAGTCAGCACAACGAAAATAAACTCCACCTAAACTTGGTTCATATCTGACCCAGATAGACTGCAGGTCATAACTTCTTACCTGAAGTTCAGTTCACACTCGGACCAGCGGCTGCCTCGGGTCTCTTTTCCTTCTGCGTCCCCTTTCCCTCCTCCAACTGCTGGCCTCCACCACTTGCTAATGTTACTGAATCTGTGGAAGCTCCGCGATAGCCACCACACGAAGTAACGAGTAACGACCCTATCTAAATCCCAGTAACGAGTAACGCGTTCCTGATTTTGGCATAATAACTAGTTACCGTGCTCGTTACCACAATAATAATGTAGTTACTGTAACGCGTTACTTAATAACGCGTTAGTCCCAACACTGGTAAACATGCATATGTAAGCAGTTCAGAGTGGCAGACTCCTCTCGCTACAACCCACCATGTCACAGCACAGACACAAAAGGAGACCATATGTGTATCTGTGAGATGCCAGCTGCCTTGACAAAAAGGCAGTGTTTGACTGGGAATGAAGCAGGCTGACACGTCATGGCATACATGCTCGAGGAGTCAGCCTGTTCGCTGTGTGGACGGTGCTTAAAATGTCGGGCTGCATGCCCTTGTCATCATGGGCAGGAAACATAACTTTCATATTGATCCATCAAGTCATGCAGAAGTGAAAATGATGAGTTTTATGTAGTTTATATATACAAAAAAACTGTTTATTGTAAAGACTTTTATTCTTGAAAGGTGTGGAGTAGGCTGATGTTCTGGAAATTTATGGAGGATGACAGTTAATAATGTGTATAGGAATTACAGGAACCAGGAGTTGTATTATCTTTAAAAGTCAACCCACTGTCAAAACTCTGCACGCAAAGAAAGAACAGATGACCACAGAGTCCTAATAATCTCCCAAG